AAAATACGTTTTAGGAATTTTAGGAAACATTCAGTCTGATGACAGCTTTATCTGAAGATAATATAAAGTAGTCAGACCTGTTTCACATGTTATCAGACAAAGACTCACATCTAAAGACATCATCTTTTGTGATTTATTTAAAGAAATATTTCCTGCTGTCTGTCTTTAAGGACGATATTGCCTTGATGAAGGACATGAAGCTGAATCATTATCGTTTCTCCATTTCCTGGCCAAGGATTTTACCCACTGGACTGAAAAGTAAGCATAAATCTGACCATTTAAAAATTTATATATCTGAAATTTGCACAAAAAATTAGGACATTTGTATTTGCGTGATTTTTTCTTAGTTGTAACAATACTTCGTTCCCTTTGAAAATCTATTTATTTCCTCTTAAACTGTGCCACACATGTAAGGAAAATGCATTTGTGGGTTGAGCAGTAGAGCTGAATATGGCGGTTGCATCCATGATAAACTTGCCAGTATAAACAGCTTATTCTGCTATGGACTCTTACTGTGAGCTTATGATCATCTAAGACTCACCCGGATAGGGACCAAGCCACTGGGAAACTTAAAGAATGTGCTCCACAAAACCACGTGTCAGCAGTATTATAGTTTCATATAACAGAGGATGTCAGAGTTGTGAAGCGGACGTCCCAAAAAGATGACACCAGCATTTAGGAGCCATAAACAGAGCTCTGGTCTAATAGGGCTTCCAGGAAGCCTACCATGATTGCCTTTACCATCAGGCCCAGTTTTGCTGGTGTCTGCAGCATGTGCACTGGAACAATATGTTCACCGCAGAGTCCAGATTCTCCCTGCAGCAGATGGATTGTGGGGTCAAAGTGTGGATTGATTGTTGCACTGATAGGGTAGCAGCGTTAGGTGGTGTAAGTGTGATGGTTTTGGGCGGCATCTCCCTCACTGAATAAACAAGGCTTATCATCACTGGAGACAATATCAATGCAGAATCGAGATGAGATTTGGCTCCCAGTGACAATCCCACATCTCCACAGTTCAGGCCTGAAGTCCATCCTCTTCCAGTCTGTGACCGAGCTGGTGTCCAACGAGGTGCCTGGGTATTGTAGCTGTGTATGGTTCTTCA